TATATTTATATTTTAAACATCTAAATGGTACAGCAAATAGAAAGTTTCATTGCAAAAGAAAACATGTTTCTTTACTGTGCATCTAACAATAAAGTTTGAATCAAATTAGAATTAATTGAATGCTTGAAATGTGCCACAATCCATCCAGGGGAAACTGAAAACATTGGATAGAAACTGGTCAGATGAGAATTCAACATTATTTGTGGAGGAAAGAAATTTAACTGGATATTACCATAAAAAATAAGACTATGAAACTTTGTTGAAAGATTGTTTATATATTAAGTGAAAGGTTGAAAGCCTGCCTCCCTTTCCTTTGACACCACTTACCCTGTTTTTATGTGACTTGTTTTTTTTCTCTTTATATATTCTACACTCACCGGCCACTATATTAGGTACACCCATCCAACTGCTCGTTAACACTTAATTTCTAAGCAGCCAATCACATGGCGGCAACTCAGTGCATTTAGGCATGTAGACATGGTCAAGACAATGTCCTGCAGTTCAAACCGGGCATCAGTATTGGGGAAGAAAGGTGATGTGAGTGACTTTGAACGTGGCATGATTGTTGGTGCCAGAAGGGCTGGTCTGAGTATTTCAGAAACTGCTGATCTACTGGGATTTTCACGCACAACCATGTCTAGGGTTTACAGAGAATGGTCCGAAAAAGAAAAAACATCCAGTGAGCAGCAGTTCTGTGGGCGGAAATGCCTTGTTGATGCCAGAGGTCAGGGGAGAATGGCCAGACTGGTTCGAGCTGATAGAACGGCAACAGTGACTCAAATAACCACCCGTTACAACCAAGGTGGGCAGAAGAGCATCTCTGAACGTACAGTACGTCGAACTTTGAGACAGATGGGCTACAGCAGCAGGAGACCACACCGGGTGCCACTTTTTTCAGCTAAGAACAGGAAACTGAGGCTACAATTTGCACAAGCTCATCGAAATTGGACAATAGAAGATTGGAAAAATGTTGCCTGGTCTGATGAGTCTCGATTTCTGCTGCGACATTCGGATGGTAGGGTCAGAATTTGGCGTCTACAACATGAAAGCATGGATCCATCCTGCCTTGTATCAACAGTTCAGGCTGGTGGTGTTGGTGTCATGGTGTGGGGAATATTTTCTTGGCACTCTTTGGGCCCCTTGGTACCAATTGAGCATCGTTGCAACCCCACAGCCTACCTGAGTATTGTTGCTGACCATGTCCATCCCTTTATGACCACAATGTACCCAACTTCTGATGGCTACTTTCAGCAGGATAATGCGCCATGTCATAAAGCTGGAATCATCTCAGACTGGTTTCTTGAACATGACAATGAGTTCACTGTACTCAAATGGCCTCCACAGTCACCAGATCTCAATCCAATAGAGCATCTTTGGGATGTGGTGGAACGGGAGATTCGCATCATGGATGTGCAGCCGACAAATCTGCGGCAACTGTGTGATGCCATCATGTCAATATGGACCAAACTCCCTGAGGAATGCTTCCAGCACCTTGTTGAATCTATGCCACGAAGAATTGAGGCAGTTCTGAAGGCAAAAGGGGGTCCAACCCGTTACTAGCATGGGGTACCTAATAAAGTGGCCGGTGAGTGTATATATACAGTGAACACCCTGCTATATTGCAAGTTCTCCAACTTAGAAATCATGGGGAGGTCTGAAATTTTCATCATAGGTGTCCACTGTCATAATCTAGACATAATAATCCAAAAATCACAATATATGATATTTTTAGCTATTTATTTGTATGATACAGCTGCAAATAAGTATTTGAACACCTGTTTTATCAGCTAGAATTCTGCCCCTTAGTCTGCCTTCAAAATGTCCACTTCATTTATTTTACTAAATTAGGTGCACCTGTTTGAGCCCTATTAAGACACCTGTCCACCCCATACAATCAGTAAGAATCCAACCACTAACACAGCCAAGATCAAATATCTGTCCAAACACACTGGAGACAAAATTGTACACCTCCACCAGGCTGGAAAGGGCTACGGGGAAATTGCCATCAGCTTGGTGAAAAAAGTCCGCTTTTGGGGCAATCATTAGAAAATGGAATAAGCTAAACATTAGAGTCCATCTTCCTTGGACTGGGGCTCTCACCTCTTACCTCATGGGGTCTCAATGATCCTAAGAAAGGCGAGAATCTCCCCAGAATTACACAGGAGGAGCTGGTCAATGACCTGAAAGACTTGGGACCATTGATTCCAAGGTTGCTGTTGGTAATACACCAAGACGCCTGAGAAACAGTATGACATGTGCTAATAACCTGTTTATCTTCTGTATGGAAAGAACATAACAAATAATCTCTGAATTAACTACCTAAATAATGTCTAAACTTTCTGCCACACTGGTCGAACCTCTCCAGTAAGAAAAAAAGAAGCATTTATTTCCCTAGAATTTTGGGTTGATTATTTACTGTTTGCTTGGTCCAGAGATTTTTTTCAGCAACCAGAACTGGGTATAGGTCACCCTTTCTTTTTAATAGTGTATTAGACCCAGTTTAATGAATGGGTGTGGCCAGGGCTGCTCTTGCTTGAGAGTAACTGGATGTTTTTAGTCTTGTTTACTGGGAAATGAATATGACATCAGAACATGGTTATTAAAAGAGGAACATTGTGTGTTAGACCTATCATTTTTTCCTCGATTACAAGATTACAATTTGTGTGAATCATCTCTGAAAAGCAAAACTTAATCTTAATATTTTTGGGCCTATATTTCAACCACTCGGACTGGTGTATTTGGTTCAGTGTTGAATTCTACTTGCCGGTAGCAAAGACAGAACCAATCCAGCCAGTTTATAAGGTTCCTCTTTGCTTTATTTTACAACATTTATGATGTTTTCTACAAATAACCAATCACAATCATCAATTACATTCTTGAGGCATTTAAACACTGATTCTTCTTGGGTATCAAGTTGAATTGGGGGAACAGAGCATTCAGTCTGGCTCCTCCCTCTAATTGGGGGTTCTTTACAAACTAAACGGAAAATATTTTGTTCTATCCCATCTAGCAGACAATGTTAGTCCATTGAGCAGTGCCAGTGTAAAGCTTTCACATGTAACTCTATTCTTAATGACTGCATATAATAATTGGCAACCCCTATTTTATTTTCTAATTAAAGACATCTTATTGACCCTTAATTAATAGTTGTCACTAAGCTGATGGACAGGTTGTGCAAGTTAAGGATTTTGTCTACTCAACAGAACTAGAACTAAGGAAAATGCATACGCAGGCTTTGTGCATTCGGTATTGGCACCATCATGCTGTGGGGATGACGGAGCGAGGTAAACTGCTGAGAATGAAGCACAATGTGAGGGAAATTCTACAAAGTCAGAGTGTAAAGGATTTAAAACAGCACAGTCATTCAGATTTACAACAAAATCGTTTGAATAAAACTGTGTTTATTAAACTTTTTAAAACTATTTAGATAAAGACGTATATAAATATATATATATATATATATATATATATATATATATATATATATATATATATATATATATATATATATATATATATATATATATAATATAAAGATATTTATAATATAAAGATATTTATCTATTTATTCAATTTACATTTAGAGATTAATAAAGTATTTTTGTATTGAATTTAATTATTTGTTGAATTTGCACAAAGTCTGTAACTAAATCAAAGAGCTGTAAAACTTCAAACTGATGTTTTTAATGGCTCTTCTTCCTTTTCTGACTAATGCACCCTAACAAGATCTGAAGCTTTATTTGCAGAGAACCGTGGTTAAATAATACACTAGTTGGGTTTTATAAAAAAGCACAACATGCTTTTTTGACTATTTCATTTTTGACAAATAGTTAAAACCCAAGCATCATTGTTATTCAAGCTTAAAGTTCAGTCGTTCTTTGTGTTTTCCTATCCCATAAAATCCCAATAATCTATCTAAATGTGTGAAAGTTCAGCGTTTGACGACTTCTATCTGGTGATGAAGGGGCACCTTGAAAGGAGAACTGATTAGGATAAATAATGCTCAGATGCTATTTGGAGGAGACCGATAAGGTAGTGTTGCGTAATAAGAGAGAGGTCAGCATCATTTGACCCCTGCTGACCCTTTTTTTTGACGGACCTTGGGTTTGGTCATCACTTCAGAGACCACGCAAGGTACAGGGTCAGGGTTCATGGTGTCCCCAGCTGTGCTGCCATGGAAACCACAGCCTCAACCCACAACTCATTTGATGCTCAGCCTTTGTTTTAAAAACAATTTCATATAAATACAAGAGTTTAGGAGTGTTTTTTTTAGATATAGGAAAACTTATATCTCTAATGCTTTGTTTGTGACATTATTGCAAACTGTTTTTCCTCCCAGATTTTTACATTTTAATTTTCCATGTTACGTAAAATTCCTGCAACCGTATCTGTCGTGTTTCTCATAGCTACCAAAGCTCGGTGTCTGCCATTGTGATCCACTTCCTGTTTTTGATCAGTGTGCAGGGTTTTTCTTGCAATCAGTGCTGGTGCAGGGTGGGGGGAGAGAGAGAGAGAGAGAAGAAAATCAATACTTTGAATATAATGTGTGGCCCTGTGGTATAAGAGAATGATTAATGTAGGGATGGCTTCTCTCTGCATCAGATGGGACATGTGTTTGTTGGTTAGATGAATGAATGAATGAATGAAATGAAGAGAGGAGAAGGAGGGTAAATGGCTCAGCTGCCGTTGACTGTGCCACCACTCCTCCTCTCTTCTCATCTCTCCATCACACCATGCTTTCTGACCATCCCGCTTAATCTTTTTGCTCTACTGTGGTATTATGGGACCAAAGACTAACACGTACAGGAGTTTATGGCCCAGTAGCCCCCCCTCCACAAAAAAGCAGCCCCCAACCAGATTAATGAGAGCATGTTACCACGATGACCCACTGAACGAGGAGGGGTTAAGGGGTGAGGGCTGAAAAGGCAAAGGGAAAGGGAAGGAATCCGGCAGACAGATTCAGGCTGAAGCATGAGGCAAGAGGAGCAAGAGCCTGAAAAGGAGAGAGTAAGTCTCGGTCATAGAGAGGGAAGTGTGGAGGCGGGAAAGAGTGAGGAAAGAGAAGGACATAACAAGCGTAGAAAAATGTGTGTGCTTGTGTTTGCTTATTGCAGTGGCCCCACCTACCCCGCCATCCTGTTAAGGAGGCAGAGTCCCGAGGAGGAGGAGGAAGAGGAGGATAGTGGGATCCCCTCCCTCGGTCAGCAACACACACACACATCCTCTCTCTGTAGCTCACACACACACTGCTCCATGAGGCAGCAGTCGCTGAGCAGCTCTGGATAGACCACGCGAGGTTCTGCAGGTGTCCCACCCTTCTCTCAAGCCAGAGATGCTCCAGCAGGTATTAACTCATTTTCTACTTTTAGTCTTGTTTGAAATTTTCTTGTTAATGAATATACTATATGCTTTTGCTGCTTAAAAAAAATAGTTTAGATGGGAGATTTTCAATTGGAGGAGAAAACCCAAACCTTTTTTTTTGGCTCATGTGAGGTTGCATGTGCAGTAGCGTAAGGCTGAATGCCTGCTCATATAGTTGTTTACAAGCTCTACTGTAGCTGTAGAGCTGATAACTTCAGCTAAGTGGGCTTTTGCAGGTCTCACTCTGTGATATTTTCATTTTACAACCTTCTGCTGCATTTTAAAACACCTTTTTTTCATAGAGGTCCTGGCTCTGGCTGCTTGTTGCATTATTTAGCCTTGAGTTTCATTTTTAGTGGCACTCTTATAGCTGGATAAAACAAAATACAGTATGTACACCCTCTATATGATCTTTCATGTATGATTGAAGGATCTCAATCCAATTAAATTGTAAAAAGCCAATAAGTGTTTTTTTGCTCTCTATGGAAATTATTATTTATACTGAATATTTTTTTTATTCCAATTTGAAAATTAGAAAAACATAATATCTAACATTACGATGATACTGTAATTTTTTTGTCTGAGCTGCATGGTTTTGGGAGAAGATCTGAACTGGTAAATAATCCTATGCATGTGTGAGGGGGAGCACATGTCTCCTATGTAGCGTGGTGTACTGGCAGACACCCAATTCAGCCATCTCTGCTCAGAATGTAGGTACAGTAAAATACAACTTCTGTTTGAAATTACGACTTAAACTACCTAACTTTAAAAACATACTTTCTGCATTTTTGCTGTAAATTTGTAAACAACCTGCTTTTAATTCATTCATAACCAAAAGCTAATACAGATGATTATTTCTGTGAAACTGTATTTAAGGGTATATTAGTTTCATGTTGCCGTCTTTGAAAATGTGTTAATGTTTGCAAGCCTTTAAAAAAACATAATATCAACGTTATGTTTTCACATATATTTTTTATGGCTTCCATTGACCTATTAATGGTATTATTCGTAAGGTGCATGGCATGGCCAGGGTCACATCCCACAAGGGTTTGGATGGTCAGCCCCCCTGGCCGCAGCATGGTCAGATAGTAGCCAATAGGACCCAAGCTGTGGTCATCTTTCTATCACACTCTTTTTAACTGGAGGTCAAATGAGTCAAAGGGTAATAAGTTTAACCCCCTTGAGGGGCGAGAAGTCAGAGGTCACAAATAAGGCTGTAGGGAGAAGGTTTGAATCATCAATCAGTGGCACTCCTGGTTATATCTGCACATATCGATAACCTGCTCCGTTCTGTTCATCTCATTTGCATCGCATGGTAAGCACCAGCCGAAGCTGGTATTATCATAAAATTTTGAGGAAAAAAAAAACTGCAGATATATTTTAAAAGGTCCAGTTTGCAGTTCAACTATAAAATGAAATGATTGACTTTTACATTTCTATGAAACTCTTTTGCTTTTTTCAGGTGCAAGATATGCACATGTTAGCCTGTCTTGCTTTTGTGTGGGTTAACTTAGGTCAACCATTACCTTATTCTTTCATTAATTCATCTTGTTTTGTTGTTATTTTTTCTTTGTGGGTAATATCCTAATAAGCTAAACTGAGCTCTCAGAATGAGGGTAATATGCTATTTTTCTGGCATGCCCTCTAGTTTAGAAGAGCAGTCATAGCTACTTGATTTGAATAAGCCTAGGCTTATGTAAAGGGGTGTGGCCTTTTTGTGCATTTATAGTTTGTTTTTTCCCCCCAGCAAACCACTGTTCCGTCTTTTTTAAATACATTTTACTTTAATCCAATGCTGCCTAGATAAATAAAGTTAAGAACAATTGTGGTTGGTTTACAAATGTAACCTTTTTGTGACCAAACGGTAATCTTCCCCGCGTTTCTGAAATGGTGGTGTGCTGATGTTTCAGCATCTTCCAGTGGTCTCCTCCCTGGTTGATGTTAGCGATGTGTCAGCATTAAGCTTGTTCTGCCTGCTAGGCTGCTGGGGCCTTGGTGGCGACCAGCCCAGTCCAGCCCAGCCTGGCCGAGGGAGGGATCAGACATGTCTTGGCACCGGGCGAGGGACTTGACAGGATCAAGGATTGCCAGAAAAGTGTTTCTACAGTATGCAGTATTGTTAAACAGTGGATTAACATAGTATGATGCTACTTTTGATATATATATATATTTTGTTGTTTTATTTGTTTTATCTCTTGACAGTGATGGAAGAAAAATGTTCGAAAAAGCAGAAGATGCACAGAAATTCAACAAAGACCCCAGGTTATGCTCTGCACCAGGATTTCGCTACTACATGGTACGTCCCTCTGCCAAATTAGCCAGCACTAACACAAATCTATTCAGTCCTCCACGTGCATATAGCATTCTATGGGTTTAGGTGCGTAGATTTAAGGACAAGCACCCTATATAGAATGTGAGGAAGCCATTAAGCGTGTGAATAAGAGAAGTGTACATGTTGCTCAGTCAGCTAGTGCACAGACAGAGCCCATCAATCACTAATGTAGCTGCCTTGCTCTTTTTTCTGGTCCCTCAAGTCTTATACCAAATCTGGGACTAGGCATCACTTTACCTTATCTTTATTTGGGGTGAACCTTGCTTTAAACTCTTACCTCAAATCATGCTAACAGAATTTTGAAGTTTAATATGCATGTATGATAAATATCAGAGCATGCACGCTGAGATGTTTTTATTACGCACATTGTATAATTTTGGTACAATGTAAAAGTTTCCTGCTGTAGTGCTGTTTCAGTGTAAAAGTACAATAAGATGTGCAGGGTGTGTTTCCACGATATATATTTTCTTATAAGAGATCAAACTTCGATTGAGGTTTTACTGCCAGGGTAATTGTTCTAGGCACGTTTTGTACATCGTTAACAATTTTTTCCCCTAAACTTGCCAGTCTTAAACTTGTGTTTTGGCCTTATATAAAAAAGAAAAGACTTAGCTGCCCCTAAATGCTGAGCCTAACCTTGTCAGATTTAAAATACGCTGCAAAAAGTCAACAAAAGTAAATCAAAAGTATTGTTTTCTTTAAATAACTATTTTTTCTTGATTTGAGCAAGTAAACAAAAACAAAAAAAACAAAAACAACTTGCCAATAGAAAAATATGATTTTCCCTTAGAATAAGAAAAAAAGACTCCACTATGTTATTCCAAGTGCATAATATCTGATTAAGTCATTTTAGATGCAGAAATCTTTCTTCCAATGGGAGATTATTTTATTTTCCTGCTTAGGTTAGGGGAAATATACATATTTCAAGAAACTTTAATTACATTTCGATATATTTTCGCAGTGTAGTATTCCAGTATTGCCTATTAACTATTTTCAGTCTTCTGAATAGGAATAATATTAACATTAGTGTCCCAACCACAGTCCTGACTTGTTAGTGAAGTACAGTGTGTGAAGATAGGCCAAAGATTAGGGTAATGATATGGAGGCTCTCCACAACTAGAGCCGATCACCAAAGACAAATTTTTCAATATATTAGCGGGAACCTGCTGCAATTGCAAAACAAAAACAAAACAATAATTTTTCATGTCTTTTAGAAAAAGTTATACTTAATTTTCAACATACCGTTGTAATAAAATATCTATTCATTTATTCTTTACATTATGCACTTTTCATTGTTTTATCATTCTTTAAGAGATTCATTTTGATTCCCTCCTCCAGAAACAAACATTTTGATTGAAAGAAAATCATTTTAAATCCAAATCTGAAAGGAGTAGGAATAATTTAAGGCTCTACGGAAAGCCTTTTGAAGCAGTGAAAAGTTTGGAAGAGTGCAGGTGATAAGCAGCTGGTGGACTGCTTGTCGTGTGAAGATTAAGCAATCAATCTTTTGGTCAAGGTCCTGCTTATCGAATATAGTTTGAGCAGCTGAAAGATTCACGTTATGCTTATCTCCTGAACCCCCAACCACCCTTGGTCGCTACTGATATACCTGTGGGTAAGAAAACACACTGTAAAGCTTTCCATTAATTGTGCAACAATATGTAGATTGTATTTTAAGATATATTTAAATAACAGAGCACAAAGTGGTTTAAACATGTAGTTTTGTTTCAGATGATTGAATGAAACTGTCTTTTGACAGGCTTTCGTAAAACTTGTGCAGAGGCCTGCTTAGAAATGCTCTTTATAAAGGTCACAGCTTGTTGTGATACGGACAATGAAGCAGCCAATAAACTGTCCGTGAAACATGGACCTAATTGGAAAGTTTTGTCAATAACTTTATACTTTAACATGAAAACAGAGATCAGGGGAAAAAACAAGAAAATCCTCCTTCACACATTTCACAAAAATATAGAAATTTAAGCATAAAATGGTGACCAAGCTGCACGGATGACTTACAGAGGGGTCCTGATGAATAGAAGGTTTGAAGAGATTCTGCAGAGCAATTTCCTCTCGAATATATTTCCTAATCAGGGTTGTTTAGGAATCCAAAAAGAATCATCTACTGTATCAAAACCAACACTAACCCATTTATAAACAGGAAAAACACTAATGATTCTCTTTCCAGATATATTATTAATGGATAGAATATTACAGACTGTTGGTCACATCAGACGTTCTGTTTGACTCTCTCTTCTGATTTCATTCAACAGTGAGGAAACTTTTACTATAGTCACTTATAATCACTTTTTTTTTTTTTTATGTTCTGAAACCTTGACATTAAGGTATGTGGAACTACTAGAACAGATCACAACATTTTAGAAAACACCCAAACACATTATACATAACATGATAGCCAAAGGAGCTATTATTGTCTAACTTATGATTCAGCTTCACTCTAATTAGAGAGAGATGCTCATTAAGGGAAAAAGAGGGATATGCAGAGTTGGTCCAAGTAATAATCAAGCGTAGTAGCTTACAGCCAACATATTACCAAGGGGTCTCATAAAGTAGAGGTAAATATCGAGCAAAAATCCCTTATGTGTAAATTTTAGAGCTGTAAATAGAGTTGTATGTTTGAATTAGGCATCTACTGATGATCAGGCAAAAATAAAATCTAAAATATATTGAAAATATTCGTTTTAAATCTTAGTAGTCAGTCTGTTAATATTTTTATAAAATATTTTCTGCTGTTAAATATTTAATCTTAAAACCTCGGAGGCCAAATTAAAAGCTGTTTGGATGGGGCCATTCCACCTATTTCACATACAGGTTAAAAAGATTCAGAGATTTAAAAAAATCAAATTTTTATCTGTGTTAAAAACAAATGAGGGGTCGAAATAATAACTTATTAAGAATTGCTAGTCAATAAAATTAAGACAACCTGACTACCTGCCACTGTTACTGGAGAAGGTGAGTTATACACACCAATGTCGAATTGCGTTGACTCATGTCCTTAAAATATATCCATAAACTTAAAACATTTTTTTTTTACTTTATGAAAACATTATCAAATACATTTTTATGAATTCATAGCTCCTCCATTAACATTTCAGAAGATGTTTCTGCGTTCCACAGCTAACCATTTACAATATGCTAAAATCATAAAAGAAAGCGCTGACTTGTCACAAAAAAAAAGCACAAATTATATATTTTTGGGCTGATCTTTCCAAACCTTTGAGTTTTGGCAAAGGTTATGTAAATTTTAATTAATGTAGGGATTGTGCAAAGTTGTGATTGATGGTAGTTTAAAAAACTACCATCCTTGGACGAACTCTGGAGGCGAGGCTCAGGGTTGTCGTTCGGTGCTTGCATCACAAGTTACGTAAAGGTGATGAACAGAGGCTGAACAGGCGAGGGACAGTACCCGAAAGGTCTTAAATCTACTCCCCGCTCATTTACATGGGACATAAATTCATATTTAAGTGGCAGAAAATTGCTCGGGTGGCTGATACACTGGGGCATATAACAATATAATTGTAGTCAGACATATGTGTATGTAGGACGGTGCATGGTAGTAATATAAGATTGAAGAGGTATCGAGGAATTATGCATCCAATAACTGAGATGGGATGTAAATGTGGTGAGGAGAGTGAGTAGGCTGGTTTTTCTTTGAGCCGTTCCATGTGAGACTGCAGTGCAGAGGCTAAATGGCAGCCAGACTCATATCCAGTGACTGGCAAGAAAAGGTGGCTGCACTGCACACTGCAAAACTTACTGTTATAGCCTTTTTTAAGATGCTGTTTAACAGCAGCAAATTTTCTAAATGTACAGGCTGAAAGCAGAAATACAAGTATTGTATTATTTTTTTGGAATGCACCAATCAATTCACTACAGATTTCTATTGGCCATTTGTTCCTATTATCATAATAATGCAAAAAACATGTTTTATACAGTTTCTGTTTCTCATTAAATGCATCCAAACTGACAACTCATCATTTCCAATGGACAAGTTTAAGAAAACAGATTAGCAATGTGTACTTTGATGAATAAATGTTATGATCTTGCCAATCTTTTGTTTATTTTATTGGATTCAAAGCCTATTCTCTTTTTAAAGACCCTGCAGAACATTTGTTTGGTCTTTTGTTTTATAGTTCTTAAAAAGAAGCTTCATATCGGCGGGGAAAAGCTTACAAAGAACATCAATTTGTTTTTATTTCTTTTTGCATGACCAAAAAGATTTCTCAATTATTTTTCTGATTTTCTGTGAAAGTGAAGGGTTGCTAATTGGTTGAAATTTTTAGTTCTAATAAAAAAATCAATAAGAAAGGATGCATTCAACCCTTCAGGAACACTTTTTGTTTCTATATAATCCTTTTTTTTTTCTTTCTTTTGCATAAAAACTTACTTCAGATTAGGCGTGAGGATCAGCACATTGCAGATAAATGATTTTTCTACCCAAATTTTGTTAGTCGTCCTCCTCATCATCATCATTTTCCCTCCTTTTCTCCCATGCATTTTTTTCATCTTTAAAAAAAGGGTCCCTAACGGAAAAGCAGGGGCTAATACAACATGTCACATCGGTTCACATAGATCCCAATTGTTTTTAGCCACTGTGCAGCTCTGAAAGGTCTGCTCGTTGCATGTGTTTCCCAGCATGTATTCTTATATGTTAAAGCCATGCATATACTCTCACACAACTCCTAAGGTTTGACCCACGTTTTTAAGTTGATATTTTGGACTTACAGCAACATTTCCCTATTATATTTTGCCTGCATTCAACCACATGTCACTGAATGCAAACCGGACCATCAACAAACAGTACAATATGGCTCCCCAGGAGGCCTCCTTACAGACGTGTTTCATAATTTGAGCTGTTCTGTCTATTGTATCAGCCTCCTTTGATAAATTTACTTCCAACTGATACAATGCGTCAGTCTTTTTGTTAGAGGAGGACAATTGCTTGTACAGTGAATGTCCAGAACTTTAATGAAGTGCTGAAGCAAACGGTACAGAGCTCTGCTCCTCTTAACTGTAGATGACAGCTAATGGACTAAATGATACAATGTCTTTAGTTAGTTATTTATACTTTTACACTATAATGTTTGCTATCTTTTTTTGTTTAATCAGTTTTAAACATTTCAATTCAATACAACTTCAAATAAGTAATAAAAAAATAAGACAGAATATAACACAAGATAAAACACATAAAAAATTACAGATTTACAGATTTGGATCCACCTCTTTTAAAGGCAGTGGTCTTATTTTTCTTGGGATATCACTATCTATTCAAATGCAGCCATGTCTCTAGCTCTTTTTTTTTTCAGGACTGTCTTCTTTTTCAATGCTCAGGCTGTTGAGCTCCTTTTATTCAAAGTGAACCACAAAGCAGAGCAAGAAAATGCCTTCAAACTGAGCTGCAGGTGCACACAGGGAGGAAGAGAACAAATCCCAGTGCAATAAAGCTGCGAGCAACAATTTTAAAATACATTTCTTATTTGAATTTTAGTTGAATACCTTAATTACAGATGTGTTGCTGAAAATCTTTCAAACAAATACATTTCAAACACATTTTCCCACCTTTTTCGCATCTTTTTAACCTTTAAACACTTTAACATTTAACTGAATCACATTTTATTTTTTTTTAGGAGTTTTATTAGTTTTATCCTAAACTCTTGGGGGACAAGTTGGGGCGTGTGTGTGTGTGTGTGTGGGGAGGGGGCTCATGATGTTGGGACAGATGGTATTTAGCTCTAGCTGTGCCGAGCCCAGTGGGACCTGAAGCTTAAGAGGTTAGGCCTGTCAAAACCACTCTGCTCATTCACTGCCTAACAAAGTGTGGACTGTCAGCCTGTTCCGTTTAATAAACTTAAGATTTTTCTTTTGTCAATGCCCAAGCAACACTTTTGCAACTCGATGACCTGAATATCCTGACATTCTTCCAGCTCAGTGGCAGAGAATGCACCTTTTAGGGAGGGACTTCCTAAAAAAACGTGAAATAAATGGCTGTAGAGCATTATAAAAAAGCTGTTGGTGTTTAGTTAATGAGACCAGAGCTTAGGTCATAGTTGTAACATCATAAGAGGCATGTCTTCAAACAATAAGACAAACAAGTAGTAGATTGAATGAGTACAGGAAAAGTTTTATACATCAGTTCTCCTAAAGGGATCAAGTAATCATTTGTTGTTTTTTATTATGTTTTTCAACCATTACACAGAAGTTTTGGCTTAAATGATTAATTACAAGCTTTATGCTTCACCACAAGAGGGAGGCATACAGTAATGTACAGAACACATCATGACTGCAAAATCTGAACTTAGTAAGCCTGAAACATCTTAACTTTTAATATATATGAGCTGCTTACTTGCACAGAAACTAAAAAAGATGTGGTCTTTTTCTTTTATCTCCCAATTTGCTCCAGTGTTTGTTAAGGTCAGAAGCTGAAAGCTGGTCAGTGGGTGACCTGAGCGGGATGCCTGGCTGACATCTGACCTCTGACCCGGTGTGAAGGTTGACCCCAGATGACATGGTCCAACAATATGAGGCACGTGCCTTGGCCTAATCGCCATGGTAATGTAAGACCTTTCAGGGAAGGGCTGGGAGCAGGGTCAGGGCTGTCTTTATGCTGATTGTTGTAAGACATCTGCTGTCAGTTGACTCCCTGGATGTATCATGCGGCCAGCGCCGAACAGCTTGTACATGACAGGGCATGGGCAAGGAAGCTAAAGGCTAACTGGGTAATCTCTGCAGGCAACTGTGATGATGCATTTTGTTCTCACAATCACCTGGAGAGATTCTGCAGTTTGCTTTGCATTCTGTTCTCCACTTTTATCTATAAAATGTATTTCTAGGAGAAAAACACCATTTACTAAAATGATAAAATATGTCGATCTGTAATTATAAAGTTCAAGTTTTTTTTTTTTTTGAGCCATGCAGCTGGCTTTAAACCTCTTTTGTTCCTGACTCAGATGTCTAAACTTTTGGTGATTGGTCAAAAGAACAGAAGGGATACATTACAGTGTAGAATGAGGGCCAACAGGTGCAGCCCACCTGCAGCAAAATCTGCTTCACACTATTTGATGCTAACCCTGAAGCAGCTTTTATAAAAACATATTACTCCTCGGATTCTTAGTAACCATCATCATGCAAGTATTTAAAAATTTTTTTACTGTATAGCTTTTACTCCTCCTCCCACTGTCTCATCTTGTTCTCCACCGTTTTCTGCTGTGTTTTGGTGAAATCTCAGCTGGCAACTGTGAGTAGTTCACTAGCTGCTCTCACAATGGCCTCTGGGATTATGCTAAACGCAGCGCCTCGGCTGCTCCCCTGCATCGACCAGCATCGACGACGCCCTTTGGAGAGCACAGGAAAGGAGATGGAGGGCTCTCAATGAAGATGTCACTGCAATTACACAAGCATGTTTCATAGACCCCCTCTGTTTCTGCTCTTCCTCCTCTTAACACCCCCACCTCTCCGCTTCTCCTCTTTAAAAAAAAGAAAAACTTCTTTTAGACACTCTTTTGAAGTGCTGCCTCATCTCTTGCAGGTCTTTCATAATGCAGACCCATTTTGAATTTGCATGAATTCACCATCCAGATGCTTCTGCTGCCATCTTGCCCTATAATGATGCATACTGTACAGAATCTGCTATTGTATTATCATGTTATCAAAAGAATAATTGTGCCTTAATTGTCTGATTTTGAGTTGGAAAGTGGAGAACCACCCAAATGTGTTCATCTTAACTCCTGTTATTTCAGTGTTATGATTTCACGAAGAGAGAGCTGTCTGATGCGGATGGTACTGCATCAGGAACTGATTGGCTGATACTTCACTGCCAACAGTACCTGATGCATTGCCCTCAGTATCAAAAGAAACGTCTCATAACACCACCTGTTTTTGAATTATTTTTAATAAAAGAAACCTCTTTTCATGCTGTATTTGGATATTTTTCTCCTTGCCTCATATGTGAAAATACATATTTGTGTGTACGTTACTTTAGATTGAGAGCTTTGATGATTCAAAGCTCTCAACTATTATTAACCTGAAACCTTTTATGAGTCTATATTTTATAGGTCTAATCCTTCACACTGAAGTATTCAAGTGCAGGTTTGTGATAACTGGAATATAATATTTTCCTTTATGTTCTCTAAAGTCCAAACCTGGACAGTTGTGATTCCTATATGCATACCATTTCACTAAATAGATGTGGCTGCATTTTTGATCACTTAAGAAAGGAAAATGTAGCATTTTTCCAAAGTTGTGGTTTCTTTAAAAAAAATTCTTTCGAAATGTGTTGGCTACAGTCACAAACATTACTCTGCGTTATTATTTATGTTCAAGACAAACTCATTCCATGTTTAGGACCTATATTATGTGTTTTTTTTAGAACTAATTAACTGGCGCACATTTGAGCTCATCCCCATATTCAATATATTTATAGCTGCTTTTGCACATGTGAACAAGCTGTGCATATCAAGACATTTCTGCAAATTACCTTTTTGTCAAGAAGCCTCCAACTCATTCAGAACAGTGAGTGATCATGTCACAGACTTCTAATTGGATTCAGATCTGTGTTTTGATAGGGCCATTCTAAGTATTAAATATGCTTTGATCTAGATTATCCTTTTGTAACTCTGGCTGTAAATTCAGGGTTATTTTATTTTTAGAAGGGGAACCTCTGCACTAAAATCAAGTTTGTACGACTGCTCAAAATGTATATATTTTTTAATTGTACTAAATTTCCATTTTCTGACCAATTTCCATCTCTGCTAAAAATTTCAAGAGCATGATTCTAACATTACCATGCTTCACCATGGGGTTGGTACTGTATATACAGTGTGATATTCACCTGAGTACAGGAGTTGTTCCACATTTGGTGTGTTCCCATGCGTTTTGTGGTAGCATTAAACCTGATTTTATTTCCTTTTGATAAAGCTTTTCTTTTTCTTCACTTTTTCACAAACCACCACGCCGAACTATTACTGTGTAGATGTATTGCCATCGGATTATCCCACCTCAGCTCTGCATATCTGCATCTCTTCCAAAGTTTCCTAGCTACAGTACATAAGAGTTTAGGCAATGTCTTAACAGGTTTGCAATCAATATATTAATTTTACACAATATATAGAACAAGCATTCTCCTCCTTTCATTTTGCAGTTGTCCACTACTTTGCATTGGTTTGTCACATGCAATTTAAATAAAATATATTAAAGATAGTTGTGATTATACAAAATGTGGAATGAGATATACGTTCACCTTGTGGCTATCTGAGAAATCATGTCTCCCACCTGTTCAGACGAGATACCTGAATTCACTCAAGCCACACCTCAATACTTGTTGCACACAAACCTTTTTTTCTGCACCAAATTGACCTTTAAGGATCCAAGAATGCTCCATTTCATGGGAAAACATACTCCATTTTAAATACATGTACACCTATATCAGCCTCATGTTGGTTTAAATTAGTTCTGGTGTGCAGTAGGAGCAGGGATAAGGTTCCCTCATCTCCTGATCCGTGTTTGATACAATTGCTTTTATGATCTCAGTTTTTTTTTTATATGTATTTGATTAATTATGTGATTTATGTTTGTTTCTTAGTGTGTTTAATAACTCTGCCAAACAAAATAAATTTTAAGTCAAAAGTGAAAAGGTTGTCCTCGTTCTTTTTCCACAGTTTCTTGTACAGGCATGATCCTGGAATTTCTGAATATCACAAAATGTTTGACCTCATAAAGATCATAATCTTATTTCTCATATAATAGGGTAGGACTTCATGCATGCCAAAATGTACCTGCCGTTTTCTTGTTCACACCCTCTGAGAAGGCAGAAGATCAGCATGCAAGGAGGTGGTGCCAAGTGTCTTTCAATCTATATCAGCAAGCTGCTGGTGAGCGGAGATGCGCTACCAACTTGCCATTTCTTTGACCCTGAGAGAGAGATCCAAAGGAGCCATGCCAATTCCAACAGATGTTCCTCAAGTGCAGGCATCTTGTAAACACCATGAAATGGTTTTGAGGTTAATGTACTGGTTACTAACAGAGATCTTTGACACTAAATTTGATTACACCATCTGCTGCTCACACATCGCAGAGTAGAATTTATAAAAACTTAATTACTGGGTTCTCAGCGTGGCACGTGACTTATACGAAGGAGGAAAAGTAAACCATGGTTTTAGCCTGGTTTCCTTACAAAAAAAATTATTTTTAACCAATCTGTTTGTATGATCTAATCAAATAACCTTTGTAAAGTGCCTTGAGGTGATGTGCTGTGAATTGGCGCTGTATAAATAAACTGAATTGAATGGCAAAACTGAATTATAACATAGAAGGAGCTATATTTCATAAAGTCTTGGTGGTAAAGTTTATATGATGTTTAAATAGAAATATAAAATACTTCTAACAATTTAAATAGTAGGATACCATCTTGACAAAACTCCAACATCAAAAGTGAAACTTACAGCAGGATATTTCAAGCATCTAGTGTCTAATCTTAATGTAGACTATTATGGGCCACCATTACTGAAAATGTTATTACATTTGACAAATTACATAAAACTTGATAGTTTATCTTAGCTTATCTTACACATGACTTCATCACTGTAGTCTGGCATGGAGAGGTTAAACTTGTGGTTCTGTCGAACTGTTATTGAAGTCCTGGTTTCTTCCACTCATCTTCATTGTTAGTTCTATTAATTCTCCCTTCTTCTTCTAGAGAGTAATCAAGGTTCTGGGTATAGGTCCGGTGAGCTGACTGACCAATCGATTCCTTGGTCATTGACCCAAGTATTATCTTGGGTACTGCAGTATGGGCAGATGTCAAGTCCTGTTTAAAATCAGCATGTGCACAAAACTGATCAGCAGGAGTAAGAGTGAAGATCTTTCAAATTCCCTGTTAGACAGCCGTACTAACTTCTGTCTTTTAATCAATGGCTGCAGAGATCAAGGTTTCCAAAATCTTAACTGACCATGGAAAAGTCCCTCTAAATCTGAAGCAGCTTGGATTCTGTGCATCTCCAATCCTCCAGAGTCTGTGATCGATTTTCAAGAGAAATGCAGAATTTACTTATTCAGAAAAAAAGGACCTCTAAGTTCAGGTTAAAAAATGTGACAGCCTAAGGCAATGTCCTCAATACATGATTTGGAGACACATACGTTTCAGATTATCAATTCAAATTGATATCTTTTCAGCAGTTTTCTCTGTTTGCTCCTGAGTTTTTCCTTCCACTGAACTTTGCCTGAAAACAACTCTCTTCAAGAAGTGATTTGATGTGGGTGCTAATTTATGATGAGCATTATTAAACATGATTGTGCCATGTATACATGTACTGTATATATATATATATATATCTTCCACTGAGCCCCCGTCTGCACCTGATCCTGTCTGCTCCTGTACGTGAACGCCTGGTCACACTTCGGACTCTGCTGGACTCTGAACCTGCCTGGGAGCTCTACAAGGCCTGGAGGCCTGGATCCTGCTTGTTCTGTCTGTTCCTGTCTGTTCTGGATCCCTGACCAGGATCGGCTTCCTGCAAGACCTCTGGGACTGCAGCACTGGGGAAATTCTTGGACTGGACTGTTAAACCAGGTAAGTCACCAAC